ACCCCCTCGCAGGCGCCCCCGCCGTGGCCCCCAAGGTCTTCGTCTTCCCTCCGCCCCCGGAAGAGCTGGCGCTGGCCGAGACGGCCACCTTGACCTGCCTGGCCAGCGGCTTCTTCCCCCGGGACATCCTCCTCACCTGGACCCGCCAGGACGCCCCCCTGGACCCCCGCGACTACTCCCTGCTGGGCCCGGAGCCGGACGCCGGCGCTTCCGGAACCTTCTCGCTCTACTCCAAGCTGTCGGTGCCGGTGGAGCAGTGGCGGCGCGGCGACGTCTTCACCTGCGTGGTGGGGCACGACGGCGCGGCCGTGAAGTTCATCCAGAGGAGCCTGGACAGGACGGCGGCGCGGCCGGCCAGCGTCAACGTCTCGGTGGTGCTGGCCGACTCCGACCTCGTCTGCTATTAACTGGGAATTTTCTGGAGTTTTCTGGAATTTTCCGGGATTTTTCTGGAATTTTCGCGATTTTTCTAGAATTTTCTGGTATTTTTCTGGAATTTTCTGGGGTTTTTTGCTAATTTTTGTGAATTTTCGCGAGATTTTTTGGTGAATTTTCGCGAATTTTCATCAATAAAATCAGATTTGGAGAAATCGAAATGCGGGTTTTGGAGATTTTGTTTCCCGGGGAAATGGCGGATTCGGGGTGAAAAATGGGGATTTTGGGGGTGAAATGTGTATTTTTGGAGGAAGAAGTGGGTTTGGGGTGAAATCCATGGATTTTAGGGGTTAAATGCAGATTTTAGGGGAAAAAGGTGGATTTCAGGAGGAAAAAGTGGATTTTTGGAGGAAAACGTGGATTTGGGTTGAAATCCATGGATTTTAGGAAGAAAGTGTGGATTACTGGACGAAACCGTGGATTATTGGATGAAAACGCGGATTTTAGACGGAAAACACAGATTTGGGGTGAAATTCCCAGATTTTAGGAGGAAAACGCGGATTTTTGGATGAAAACGCGGATTTCAGGTGGGAAAAAGCAGATTTTGGGGTGAAACCCGTGGATTTGAGGGGCGCCGTGAGGTTCATCCAGAGGAGCCAGGACAGGACGGCGGCGCGGCCGGCCGGCGTCAACGTCTCGGTGGTGCTGGCCGACTCCGACCTCGTCTGCTATTAACCGGGAATTTTCTGGAAATTTCTGGAATTTTCCGTGATTTTATGTGAATTTTTCTGGGATTTTCTGGGAATTTTCTGGAATTTTCTGGAATTTTTCGCAAATTTTCTGGAATTTTCTGAGCATTTTTGTGAATTTTCGCGGATTTTCGCGAATAAAGTGAGATTTGAACAAACCTAAATTTGATTTTGGTGGTTATTTCTTTTTCCCAGAGGGTAAGGCAGATTTGGGGTGAAAAATGCGGATTTTGGGAGTGAAATGTGGATTTTTGGAGGAAAACGTGGATTTGGGGTGAAATCCGTGGATTTGAGGACAAAAATGGTGGATTTTAGAAGGAAAATGTGGATTTGGGGCAAAATCCGTGGATTTTAGGAGGAAAATGCTAATTTTAGAAGAGAGATTCCCAGACTTTAAGAAGAAAACATGAATTTTTGGAGAAAAATGTGGATTTTAGGATAAAAACGAGGATTTTGGGGTAAAACTCCCAGAATTTAGGAGTAAAATCGTAGATTTGGGGAGAAAAAAAACAAAAACACAAATTCAAACCTGAGGAAAAAACCCAAATTTTGGGATGGGGTAAAAAATTCCCAAATTTCCACGGGAAAATTGGGATTTGGGGTGAGAAAAATGGGATTTTTTTGGGCTCATTTTTCACCTTTTGGGGTTTTTTTTCACGTTTTTGGGGGGTTTTTTCCACTTTTTTGGGGGCTTTTTCACCTTTTTTGTATTTTTTTTTTAATTTTTGGGGGTTTTTTTTCACTTTTTTGGGGCTTTTTCACTTTTTGGGGTTTTTTAACCTTTTTGGGTTTTTTTTTTTAAATTTTTGTTGGTTTTTTTTAAATTTTTTTGGGTTTTTTTCTCCTTTTTTCACGTTTTTTTTAATTTTTTCCCGTTTTTCCCCTTTTTCGCCCCAGATTTCCGCCCCGGCTGCCTGGCGGTGGTGCCGGTGCCGGATCCGGATCCGGAAGATTCCGACCTCTGGATTTCCGGAACCTTCATCGTCCTCTTCCTCCTCAGCCTCTTCTACAGCACCGGCGTCACCCTCTTCAAGGCAAATTTATGCAAATTTATGCAAATTTACTGCTAAATGGTCACATTTATGCAAATCTCCCATTAAAAAAGTTTTATTTTTATGCAAATTCCCTGTTAAAAATTTAAAATTTCTGTAAATTTATGGAAGTCTCCTGCTAAAATTCCACATTTATGTAAATTTAGGCAAATTTATGCAAATTTCCCGCCGAAACTTCACATTTATGCAAATTCTCCATTAAAAAGATTCATATTTATGCAAATTACCAGTTTAAAATCTCAGTTTTCTGTACATTTATGCAAATTTCCCTGAAAAGTGTTGTGTAAATGCAAATTTATGCAAATTTCCAGTGAAAATTTTGATGCAAATTTCTGAAAGTTTTGTGTTAAAATGGTCGTATTTATGCAAATTTATTCAAATTGCCTGTTTGTTTTTTAAGAAATTATATATATTCAAATTTCCTATTAAGAAAGTTTCGTGTTTATGCAAATTTATGTAAATGCCCCTTTAAAGTTTAGCTACTTAAATGCATATTTATGCAAATTTCACACTAAATTATGCAGATTTATGCTAATTTTTAGTGTCTCCGCAGGTGCTGTGAGGTCCTGGAAGGGGAAGACGCCGAGTCTGGAATTTTGGGGAATTTTGGGGAATTTGGGGAATTTGGGGAATTTTTTTTTAATTTTATGGAATTTTTTTGGGGCAATAAAGTCGAGTTTTGGGTGTTTGGTGTTAAAAATTCACTTTTTTTGTTAAAAAAACGCCGTTTTCGGTAAAAAATCCGAGTTTTCCCTTCAAATTCCCAAATTTTTATGGATTTTGGGTCAATTTTAGGAGGTTTTTTGTCAGTTTTGGGCGATTTTGGGTCAATTTTGGGCGATTTTGGTTCAATTTTGGCATTTTAGACCAAATTTTGGGGGAATTTGTCCAAATTTTGAGGTTTTTAAAGCAGGTTTTGGGGGTTTGGAGCCGTTCTTTGGGGCTCCAAACCAAATTTTGGGGTTTTGATCCAAAATTCCGGCGATTTGGGCTCAAATGTCGGAATTTTTGCTCAATTTCGGGGCGATTTGATCCAATTTGGGCGAGTTTTGCCCAATTTTGGAGCGTTTTATCCCAAAAAATCGACTCCAGATCCCAAAGAAATCTCCCAAAATTTC